GCGAAGACTTGTATGTTGAAAAAACTATATCTGCTGGTGTAATGGTCTGTTTTTTTAAATTCTAAATCGCACTTTCCTGAATTTCCAAAAAGGAACCACTCCAATATTGTTAAGCATCCGCAATTCAATCTTGGTTACTTCTGGCAGCAATCAAAACATCCAACAAAAACCACCAAAACAATTGAATCCAAGAAAGTTTTGTCTATTGGAAGACCCAAACAAAAATTTGAGAGAAAATGTTCACAAACTCTCCATACCGGCGAATCTGGCTTCCAGTGAACTGATCGCAGGTGAAAAGGAAGTTAAAAGGATATTCTGAAAATTTGCAAAAGAATTTGTGAAACAAATCTCAACAAAACAAATTTTCGAAGTCTTCCATTATTATTCGTCGAGAGACTCAAATTTATTCGGATTCGATATATCGCTCGCTCATACATCTTTCATCTTTTCTCCACGTATCCGTTGACGCTCTCTTTCACGATGCTCCCAGATACTGAAATTTCTGCAGAGTCAAATTGTAGCCACCCTAATTCAAACAACCACGCTGACCCAAAAGCTGCGGCGAAACTTCTTGAGCCTTTCGGCTCATCTCAAAACTTGGCGCAACCTGACCATGAAAGCACTGAATGGTATGCACAGTCAAAACCGTGAATTTGTATTGTGTCTGAAAACCAAAAAATAAAAAACATTGCAGGATCAGCAAAGACAAGATTTCCGTGACCCCATTCATAAGTATTCGGAAAGTAGATTCGATGATATCGACTTTGCCTAAATCCGCCGAAGTTCATGTTGGGGATTCATCCTCAGGAGTTCAGACCACGAATCAAATTCCAATTTATACGCAACATAAAATCGAAGACACCGATACGAATAACGGAGAATTACTCGAAAATTTTCGGGGATCAGATGCCTGGGCGAGCGCGATTCCACTAGTCCGTGTTTCAAACAAAAATGAAACTTTCACGCAAAGAGAAAGTGTCTCGGATAAGGAAGACAATATTGTCCGAAGTTCTATACTAGGAAAAGAGTATGATGATCAAAGTGATAGTTCTCTGGATAGTGAAGAGGGAAATCGTGCGGGAGTAAAAGGTAAAAATTTGGTCGCCGAAACTCAAATGGAGATTGAAGAACAAAAACTAGATGAATTTGGAGTCAAAGAAAAACAAGGTAAAATGAGTTTTCTGTTCTATGAGAAGCTTGCTAAACTGAAATGAAAACCGTCTCGTCAAACCAACAGAAAATCAACCTGAAAACAAACGAAAAGTCCTGTCCGCAAATCCAAATTCTAGCAAACCAAGCCAAGGAAGTATTTCTTTAAACTTAGTGGACTACGGTAATTATCTTTGATTTTGAGAATCGCCATTGAAAGTTAATAAGGTAAACAATATTATCAGACTCTGACTCTGATTCAAACTCCAGCCGAGAATACGATGAAAAGGACAAAAGTGCCGAAGTTTCAGAAAATCAACGTAGATATGATGAAAAAATTGCAGAAGCGCATGAGCTGGAAGAAATGAAGGGAGATTCTCCTGCGCACACAGAAAATGAGAAGTTTGTTGATATTAAGGAAATTTCAAAGAAAGTTGAGAGCGTGTTTTCTGGCAGTCTAGATCCAGAAGACAGTGAATTGGTATTTTTTTTTTTTTTTTTATGCCTTCAATTATGTTTCAAAAAGTTTAAATTATGTTTCTAAAAGTTAAATTCTTGTCTTGTAGCAGCCATTGCCCGTTCCCGCATTAGAAGCGACAGAAACGCCAATCAGCACAGATATCAACGGCAATGAAGAAACCACAATGATAACAATACAAATTCCAAAAAATGGGGCATTTCAAGAGTCTGACTATCCTCAGATCAGTGCCGTAGGTCTAAAAAGTGTTAAGGAAGCAATTGCACAAGGGAAAAAGTCTGGAAGAATGCCCAAATATATTACGGTCAAAAGGGAACGGATGGTGAAGAAGGGATTAGTAAAAGGAGGAATTGCAAAAAAGGAACAAAATGTCGGCAAGTCTTCAGTTTTCAAGGGCGTTGGATCATTTTTTAGCAAGTTTTGGAATAGTCTTGGCATGAGACGAGCTTCTCCGGCTGTAGAATCTTCAGATGAAGAATTTATGCAAATGTGAATTTGAATTAATCTTCAGTTTGTTCAGCGGAATTTTTTCAATAAATAAATCCTATTCTCTTTTTCAAAATGGAATAATTTTGTTTTTGGCAACCAAGGCATTCTGATTTTCAATTCTACAAAATTACCAGCATTATAGATGTATATCAATGCTGCAAACTTCAATTCAATAGAATATGGAAACAAATGGAAAAATATAAGGATTGAATTGAAATTTTTTTTTTTTGTTTTTAAGTGAAAAACTGATTCATGATGATTGCAAGTTCACACGCCCCTTTACAACAACCCAGCTTTATTTGGATCCGAAACCGCACTCTTGTGTCTATGCCATCGTCCAACTATAGCATAATCAAGAAAGGTAATAATCATCGAGGAATCAAAAAAAAAAGGAATAGTTAAGCGACTTAACTTGCCTAAACCAACTCCCTCCTTCTGCATTCAGCAACACCTCCCCCATCAAACACTGCCAGTTTGAGTTTAGTAATACCACAAACATGGAATTCACATGGAGAATCGCGCGGATCTAATGTTCTGGCACGCGTGAATCTAACGAGAGTCGAATCATCAACACAGACAGAAAGCGACTGGGGCAAGGACAAAAATGAGATGGATATAGATCAAAACAAGGATAATATTCCCGAAAATTATGATGATCAGATATGCGATTTTTTTAAAGACGACGCCGACGAACTACTCAAATTTGGAGATGAAGCCGGCACTTTTCGTTCAATTGTCGCCGAAACAACAAAAATGACTGGATTTGGCAGTAATTCCCATAGAATCCACTATAAAACAACAACGAAAGCTACGAGAAAGCACATGGATACCCCAATTGCCTATACCAATGAACAAGTTAGTATTATTTTTTTATTTTGCTAATTTTTTGTTTAAATGGATGTAAAACTAAATTAAAAACCGCAATTTGCGAAATAGGAATTACCGCACTTGATCAAAGCTGAGAAATGTAGCTCTCGCTCTTATTTGACCGACAGTGATCAACAGCCAACCACAATCACAATTCCGATACCAAAAGATGGAACATTTGACGAATTAAATTATCCCCAAATCAGTGCGGCAAGTCTGAAGCGTGTCAAAGAAGCTATTGCGGAGGGCAAAAAGTCTGGCAGGATGCCAAAATGCATTGTCGTCAAAAGAGAGGAAATCAGGCGCACTTCATCAAGAAAAGGGGAAATCTCTGGTGATAGAATGTCATCGTGTCTTCTTCCAATGGATATCATTAACCAAGGGGCAAAAACAATTACAATACCAATTTCGAAAGATGGGCATTTTCCAGAGTCTGGTTATCCAGAAATTTGCACTACCAGTTGGAAGTCTGTTCAAGATATGTTGAACCAAGGTAAAAAAGAACGCAAGATACCAAAAAGTGTAGCTGTCAAGAGAGAACGAGTAAAGAAAGGATCAAGAGAAGGAGGAGTTGTAAAGAAATGAAATCATTTTTGAATTTACATCAGTAAACTAAATTCAAGATTTATGTGCCTCAGTAAAAATAAAGATCAACAATTCAAAGCTTAGATATAAATTATTATGCACTTATTTTAGTCTTCAAGACAGCTACTATTAACAGCCAGCCTTTTACTTTCAACGAAAAGCGCAGACGATCGACACAGGTTGTATAACATAGTCATTTTCAATTAAAATCTGGTCATCTTGAATCTGAAAATTTTTCTGTCAATGGATTGAATGGAATGCACCTATTTAAATAAATAAATAATAATAATAATAGAAAATTCTCTTAATTGATTCAAACTACCCAGAATATAAGTGCAGCATTATTGCAGGCGCGATTTTCGTGAAGCGGAACTTCCTTCGATTTCAGCGAGTTAGAAGTGGTTCGTTTATCTTTTTTCAACATATCCTTTTTGTTAACGCAACTCGTCTTTTGAAAAATCTTGAAGCAAGTTTAGATAAATTATTTTTGATTTGATTTTCTCGAAATACTTCACTGCGTGAATGGAATCTGGGCTGGAGAGCTTTCGGTTATACTCTTAAGTCGCCAAATTAAGTTGTGGTATATAAACAACAAGTGAGTGCTCCACCCGCGTCCCAAAAACTGCAAACTTTCCGCACTGTCCAATTAATCATCATTTTTTTCTTCTCTCAAACTCACGCTCTGTAGATTCGATCATCGTTGGACCAACACAAGATTTCAAAAAATTTTTGTGCTGATTTGTCATCAAATTTATTTTCACACTTGCTTCAAGCTATGCAACAGTGTAGTGGACAGCACGGCGCTGGTAGTTCTGGAGAACGAGAAGCGCATGCACTACACCTATCCCAAAGAAGTTGAAAGAGGAAAAATCATAACGAAGAAAACAACTTTGCAATATTAAACAAACCTGGAAGGATTCCGAAGCAGAATAGAACAACGTTCTGCATAGTAGAGTTGATTAATAAACCAATGATGGCGAAAAAGCGGACAAAAAACATATTTGTTTGCATCAAACGCACCAACGCAAAGTCCCATCCACAGCCTTCTTTGATAAGAACGGCAACAGGGGAGAAGGTCAGAGCCAGAATAATCTCAAGAATATCGCCGAGAGTGCAGGTGCTGTGTATAATGTGGTTTAAGCAGATGCTGAAGTTGTTCGAAAAGGAACTCACAGTGACATATTTTCTCAATTGCAATCAAGAATGGTTTGTTTTCCCAGCGTCAAAATAAATTAAACAGTGCGATATCACTGTCTCCCATTTGCTCACAACAATAACCCAAAATTCGTCGTACTGTTGTTGCATACAGAATTGCAAAACAATTATTTACCCTTTCCAGAAGTCACTTGTCAAAGCCAAAATGCAGGGATATAGCACAATGTGTGTCACACTTCTCAACGCCAAAAATCAAATTTTTGAAATTAGAGTAAAATGCTCGAGGTGAGGGTTGAACTCACGGCCTTCGGCGTGCATACGCAGGATTTCTGCCTATAAGACCGACACTCTAACCACTGAGTTACACGAGCTTGTCTATTTGAAACGGAAATTAATTAATTTACCTTAACTTCAACTCGAAATTATTACTATTATATTATTATTTTATTATCATATTATCTTTTATTCTCCTTTATTATTCTTCTATTTGTCAGCTGCAAGTTCTTTTCCATTTCACAATTTTCTTTATGAAGTTTTTGCTTGCACTGCCCAAAAATTCTATTTCACTTTGTTTCAGAAAGGATCCTGACACTCTATAAATTCAGTGTTATTGAAGTTAAAATAAACAGAGAATTCTTTATTGAAAACTTCAACTTCACTTTGCTTTAGAACAAAAAGGAAGACCTCGCTGTGTGAGACACAGCTCAAGAATATTCGTCGCTTTGCTTGTTCCAAGTTAACTTCGCCCACTTGGAATCTCTTCAATTCTCTCACATTATTTGTAACGGAATCAGTATTCTTCACTGATATGGTGACAAATCAATACTTTCCCACATTTTTCACATTTCAAATTCTGTTCTGGAAAATTCTTCAAGCATCAACACAACAACTAAGAACAACAATAAAGACCTTATTTTACTTCCATATTATTCTTTCATCATTACTTTGTCAATCTTTCAATTATTATCCCTCCCTTTAATTCAACCCTTTAATTCAACTTTTTACTTTATTTTCTTATTTCTTCATTTTTCTCTGTTTTTCTTTATTTTTCTCTTTCTGGAAACTCCTTTATTTCTATTTCAAATCCAAAACTATAAATTCGAAACTCCTGAATGAAAATAAAAAGAATCTTCTTGAAAACTCAAATCTTTGGCTCTTAAAACTACTAACTAGAGGCTCATTCTGTAACATTTCGTAGCACCAGCTATAAGAACCTCTCTCTTCTGAATACTTCTACTGCTACTACTACTATTACTACTTCTACTACTTCTACTACTTCTACTACTATCCACATTTTTTCATCATGGATCTTACTATGAACACTGAGGAAACTATTGCTTTGGATGAAGCTGTGAGATGCCTCATTGCTCAACAACAAGCTCTACAACAAACAATTGCTAATCAAGAAACAAACCTGGAAGCCTTCCAACATACTATTACTGAACAACATCAAGTTATTAACCTTCTGACAGAAAACTCAATGCACTTGATCCCACTATTGGAAGCTCTCAAAATTTTACTATTGGTCTCAATTCATCACAAAAAATATGCTTATCTGACTTTAAGATGCCTTCTGTCAAGCCCTTGGAATTTTCTGGAAATTTTAAAGGTAAAACTGGTCATGAACTTCAAAACTCTCTTGATGACTACCTGAACCGCTCCTTGGAACTATGCCAACTCTACAACTTTGCAAGAACTATTGGGACTGCTACTCACGCTGGACAGCCAACCTATGTTCAATTTGTCTCATCTGGACTCACAGGATGTGCACGCATTGCCTGGAGACAACTTACTGAACAACAACGCACTGAAGCAACTTGGGACTTCTGTAAACAATGGATTCAATGTACATTTAGTTCAACTTTAACTCTATCACAAGCTGTGGAAACTATGGAAGACTTACATCAAACTGGAGCTGTTACTCAATACTCTGCTGCCAAACTTGTCTCTGCAATCTCTGCTGCTGGTGTCACTTATCCTGAACAACATCTGTGTTAAATATCTTAATGGACTCAAGCCTCATCTTCAAACTATGCCTGATCTCTACTGGATCCATAATGACTTGAGAAAATTACAACAAGAAGCTGAAACAATTGACGACCTTTATTTTTGCTGCAATTGCAAGCCACAGGCCAAAATTCGGCCCACCAAACATCAGAACGCCAGTATTAGTGCCCTTTCAACACATTTCCACAACTCAGTGATCCAATGGAAATTGAGTCCAACAACAACAACAGCCCTTTCAACACCTTACACCTGAACAGAAACAATTTTTTTGTTCCAAAAAATGGTGTGTCTACTGCCAATCTAAACAACATGACACAGACCATTGTGACAAACTCAAGGCTCGCCAAGCTTCACAAAGCAACAATATTAAGTCTTCAACATCCAAACCAAGCTTCAAGAAAGCCTCAATCATCCATGCTGCCCAAACCATTGAAGAACAAACTATTGACAACTGTGCCATCATCAAACATTAACACTGTTGTTAACACAGGCTCTTCTACCATGCCAACAATTTCTACTGTACCTGAACTTACTACTGTCTCTATGGACCCACTGATTGAAAACAGCTCTATCAAAACTATCCAACTTTTGCTCCATCACGTTGAAAACAGAACTGATCAAGTTGGACTGCTCATTTGCGAAGGCCAAGTAAATGGACATCCTGCCAAGATCCTTATTGACTCTGGAGCCAACCAAAGTTTCATCAAAGCAAGTCATCCTTCAATCAAAGATAACCTTGTCACTACTGCTCAATCCCTCATTGTCAAGCTTGCTGACAAGTCGACTGTCACTGGCAAGACCACTAAACTACTTAAGTTGTCTGTAACTAGAACAAACTTCCAGGGCCATCACTCCTTTACTGCAGTACCATCTTTGGTCTACGACGTCATTTTAAGCAAAAACTGGCTAAATAAACATAATCCAATGATTGATTGGCCTACAAATGGCATTCAAATCAAGAACTACTCCTGGTCCTGTACTTTACCAAAACCGCTACCTGAGATTATGACTGCCAAAAGCTTTGACAAGCTCTTCAAAAAGAAAGCTGACAAGAACTCAACTTTTGGCATCCTAATTCCAAAACCAACCACAAGCCACACAATCTCAAGCCAAGCAGCAAATACTTTAAAAACTACCACTGACAGCAATGACACCAATGCTGTGGCAAAGGAAGCACTCCATCCTGAGATCTACAAAATTATAAATAAATACCCTACTTCAAGACCAACTGACCTGAAAATTGAAACTGAACCTAATTTCAAGCCACCATTCTATCCAATCTATCCAATGAATGCAAAGGCACTATCTACACTTAAAGAAGAACTGGACTTTCTCCTCAAGAATTCTAGAATCAAAAACTCAATTTCACCATATGGTGCTCCTATCTTCTTTGTCAAACAACAAACTAAGGTTAGTATTTGACTACTGTGCTCTAAACAAAATTACACACAAGAACCAAACACCTCTGCCAAACATCTTGGAATCACTCAACTGTCTTGGCAAGTCAAAATACTTTTCAAAACTTGACCTTGCTTCTGGATATCATCAAATCTGTATCTCTGAAGAAGACACTCCTAAAACCGCTTTTTGTACTAAATATGGACACTTTGAATGGCTAGTCATGCCATTTGGACTCAGCAATGCTCTTGCTACTTTCCAAACCATTATGAATCAAATATTCTGTGATATGATTGATCTCTTTGTCATAATCTATTTGGATGACATACTCATCTATTTTATTACTCTGGAAGAATACTTCAAACATCTGGACCAAGTTCTCCAAAGACTCCAAGAAAACAACTTCCATGTCAGACTGCATAAATGCTCTTTTCTCACTGACCAACTGGAATACTTAGGATACAACATTTCCAAAGGACACATCAATGTCCTACCATCAAGAATTCAAGCAATTAAAAATTTTGATGAACCACACTCTTATACAGATCTCCGAAGCTTTCTAGGACTAGCTAACACAATCCACCGCTTTGTTGAAAAGCATCCTGCTCTACTTGTTCCACTATCTGACATTCTCAGAGGACACAAAACTGTACCATTTGAACAAGTCTTGGACTTACAAGCCAAGAAAATCTTCCTTCAAGCCAAGAAACATCTTTCTGACCCTAAATTTCTTGCCATGTTTGACCCAAGCAAGCCTGTTCATTTCTATTGTGACTGGTCTTCTCTAGCTATTGCAAGTTACGTTGTCCAACCAGATGAAAATGGAATTGACAAACCAATTGCCTTCCATTCACGCAAATGTAACCAAGGTGAATCAAAATATCATCCTTATGAAGGCAAAGTACTTGCCCTAGTTGAAGCACTAAGACAACACAGACCCTACATTCTTGGAAATCAAGTCTACATATTCACTGACCATCAATCACTACGCCACATACTGGACCAACCCAAACTAAGACCTGTATACCACCGATGGATTGCTGACATACTTGCCTATGCCTTCTACATCTAATGGCAACCTGGCAAATGGAACAAGATTGCTGATGCACTTTCTTGTCTCTCTCACACTAAGGAAATTGCAATTCAAGTCTCTTCAAACAATGACACTTCTACCATCTACACAATTCAAGCCCCGTCTACAGCAATGCTCAATCTTACTGAATTGACTCTCACTGATGACTTCATGACTGAAATCAAGGAAACAACACCTAATGATCCTGAATTTCAAGAATTCTCCAAGTACTTAATTGATCCTGAAAAACCAGAAACTTTTGAAAATAATCCTGCTACTGCACCACCTCACATACACTCTCAAATTTTATGCTACAAGCTCAGAAATGATTTTTTATACTACGTTGACAAGACTCATGCAAGACTTTTGTACCAAAACCACTCAGACATTTAATTATTCAAAAGACTCACTCCTATGGACCTGTGATTCACAACAACTAGGAACGCACTGCCAAAAGAATTACAAGTTACTTTCACTGGCCAAAGCTTAGTTGTGATGTCCAAGCCTTTGTTCAAACGTGTGATTCCTGCCAACAACACAAGATTGCAAGAAGTCTACCTTATAGATTACTCCAACCTCATGAAGTACCACCTTACCAATAGCACACAATTTCTGTTGACTTCATGACTCACTTACCAACAACTACAGCTGGAAATGACACAATGATGGTTGTTAATGATTCTGGAACCAATAAAACCTGAATCTCTGCCCTCAAGGGAACTGCCACTGCTTGTGACATTGCCAACATTTTTGAAGCTGAAATTTTCAAACACCATGGAATTCCCAAGCACATGATCTCTGATTGCAACAACAAATTCATATCAATATTTTGGAAAGAACTCTGTCACTCTTGATAAGTTTCCAGTTGTCAGTGGGTTTAATTCAGACTTCTAA